CCCCCACACCTCCAACGTCGGGCCCCCCATGAAGAGATACAGCCGCAGCGGACTGGCGGTCACCGCCATGACAAAGACCCTCGTCTCCCCGTGCACCGCCGAGCTCATAGACTCCAGGTACAGCGCCGCAACGAAAACCGCGTCGCCCCCTACCCTCCCCCCCGCGCCCCCCGCTGCCCCGCCCCCGCTACCTCCTCCACCGAGACCGCTGCTGTCGGTCCGAGAGCGACCGCCGGGCCCGCTACCTCCGTCAGTCCCGTCACCTCCCCTCGATTGTCGGCGGCTGAGGCTGAAGACAAGGCTGAAGGGCCGTTCCTTTCCATTGCTCTCGAGGGAGGACTCGTACAGGTCGCCCGATCTCGTGCCGACAACGATGCCCTTCGTCGAACCCTTGTGTGCGTTGGGGGCGAGGGCGGGCGGCGGGAGTGGTTCGTGTCATGTGGGGTGATTCGGGTCGCGCGAGGTGTAGCCTTAATAAGAGAGGAGGGATGACACCATGCGTTGAGAGCGGGCTTATGTGAATGCAACGACAGTCTAGTACTTGCGTGCGGGGGGTTTGACGAAGCGTGGATTTCATACGTTATGGGTATCGAGGGCCAAGAGCGGGAGGAGAGCGAGATGGAAGCAGAGTGAGGGATAGAGACAGAACAAAACTGAGCGAGAAAATTCGAGCAACACGCGACCACCCTCTACCCCCCCCCTCACCCTTCACTTCCGGGAGAGCCCAATTCTGCTCAACCAAATAGGACAGCAGTTAGCTTCTCCTTCGGAGCGTCGCCACCGCCATCGTGAGCAAACCCTACCGTGGACGCCGAGCGCGTCCGTACCATACTCCTTGGAAACCTCCTCGAGCCAATGAACACTTGCATCTCCCCAATACACGTGCCCACGGCCCTTACCATATGCTATAGGCCGGTCGATCGGGCTTGTACGTGATACCGGCCACGCACACGCACTATTCCTCCCCCCCCCCCCTCTGGTGGCGCGCGTTTTAGCGAATGACCCAAGCAATCTACCTCACGTCCGTCTGAACATAGTGCATACGGCTGAGCACAACACTAAGTTCCCACCATCCCCCGCCCCCACCAACACCACTTCTCATAAAAACCCGCGGCGAGCGAGCGGCAAACCGCCTTCCTGCCTTACCTCCGTGCACCGCTGCGAGTCGAAGGCGACGGCCTCTACGACCACCCCGGACCACTTGAGCAGCCGCTTCGGCCTCGTCGTGGCCGAGTGGAGGTAGTACGTCTCCCCCCCGTGGAGGCAGGCCAGCAGGTGGTTGCCGGTGGGGTCCAGGAAGAGCTTGTGGATGGTGTCCTCCTGCCGCTTCGAGATCTCGATCTCTGAGGAAAATACAACAACAAGCAAGAGAATAATTGAGATTTGCACTAGCGCGCGGTTCCGTGGGTGCATGTGTAGGTACCCTTGCGTCGGGGGGAGGTAGTGGGGGCTCCGCGAGTGGGTTTTGCCCACCCTCGCCCAGTTTTTCTGTACCTCGTAGATACATACGTCATGAGAGTTCCGATCGTGTTGGGATGCTTGTGTGGTTGAAATTTCGCTTCAGTCATGGCAACAATGAATTTCATGACGGAGTCGGTAGCGGCTGCCGTGCTGCGAGCCAGGGCACCCACGACGACGACGACCTGGGAGTACTGTACCTCGAACGAGACGTGCTCCAACTCAGCAAAACCCTTCGTCGGAAAAATCACCATTCCAGCACTCGGTTTCTCGACTTCTGTAAGGGGCGCAAGCTATGGCACCCCTCCCCCAAGACCAATCTTCAAAGCTCGATTGCTCGACAACCACGCTTATGGCAATACCAAAAAATGTCCTTTCGCAAACATCCGTCGATCGAGGGCCTTCCGTAGACACGTCGGGGCTCTTGCTGCACCACCCCATTGGTGGTGGAGCAATCGAATCGAGCCATGAAAGTCGGCTCTCCGCCTCTTGCAGACATCCCGAGTAAAAAAATCGCGTTCCTCCACCCCAATGTTTCCTACATCACCGCCGAGAGTAAACACAAACCTCAAAACGCGGAAAGCGTCCTCACCCCCGGCGAGAACCCGACGTGGTTCGTCCCGGCTTTGTGTGTAGGGATGCGAGGTCAATGGTTTAATGACTACGGCGTGCACGACTACGAGTACATTCCCCGCCTCTCCCCCCCCCCGTTCCAGCTCATGCCGCATCTCACCCTCAGACCCGCCGTGTGGCGAGCTGGCGCTCCAGCGGATGATGCAGCAGTCCGACGTGGCCATGGCCAGAGTGCCGTTGCCGACAGCCACCGCCAGGATGGACCACGACGCAGAGGAGGAAGAGGAGGAGGCCTTGAGGGCGTCCAGGCGCTGCAGGGAAAATATCGGCGGCTCTCCACCTCGTTTCGCCGCCGGAACGAGCTGTGCGGTCGCCATCGGTAGCAGCGGCGGTGAAGATTCCGGATGGATTGCGCGCCGTCGGTTGGGATAGACGGGCCGCAGTTTTGTGAGTGGGGGAGCGTGCGCGATTGGGATGGATGGGCCGCGTTTGTGTGAACAGGAAGGTGGTGAGGGGGGGGGGGGGGG